ACACAAAGAAGAAGTTAATTGTATCTGATGCATGGCAGACACTTAATATGTTTTATTTTCTCCCTCTACACAACCATCCTTCTACTCTGCTAGGAGCTTACGAACAAAAATATGATTTATGACAAATGAGGTACAGTTGATTCACTATCTGAACGGACAGTAGGTAGCAGGTGAATTTTAGAAAGCCTACGCTGTCACGGCATTGCTGACCCTGGTCACTCTTATTCTAATTTGTGAGGCTAATCCAGGGGAAGGCTGTATAATTAGATCTACATAAAACCACGCACCAGTCTTGTAAACTGTACATCCCGAGGCTCCATTTCCAAGCATTTCAACTTTCATGGTTAAAGATACTATCAGACATGCTTTAATGAGTTCAAAGTCCTGTTTCACATACCTGACTCAGCATGAGGGATAGAGTGTCTGCTCTGTCTCCTGCTTCTGTTTTGGGCTTTTCTTCACTCTCGGCTGGCAGCTGCCCGTCCCTAGTGAAGCCCAGGTCAGCGGGTCAGTCTTGTGCATCCTTCTACTCCTGCTCCAGTCTTTTATCCTGAGTGTTCTGTTTGCTGCTTTTGACCCTCGGTGCCCTGCTGCTGTTCCCTGAATGGGCTCCATCGGTTCCCTATCCATCAGGGCTACTGATGTCCTTGCCCTCCTGTTTTCCAGGGACCGGATTCCTACCCTCCAGCTGTCCAAGTCTCTTTTATGCTGCCCATGTGCCACGTGCCTGTCAGGTTCTGCCTTGCTCCATTCTACCCGTAAAGTCCATTGGATTTAGCTGCATGGAGCTCTCTGACAACCCGGTGAAAGGGGGCTTGGGGGACTGATGGGCACTGGGGCCAGAAGGCAGGCAGCTTCTACAGACCTCCTAGGAGATCTGGCTTGGAAGGAGTGCAAAGGAATAGCACGGTAGCGTGTTTAGCTGGGAGAGACTGGAGGACACTTACAGTTCAACAGGAGTGAACTCTTCCAGTTGAAGCCGTTGGGTGGAGAGGAGAGAGAACAGCCATTGGCACAGGGTTCTGAGAAGGTGGAGAGGTGCCCTTCCCCACTATGAGAGCACAGAGGGAATGGGAGTGAGCAGACACAAGGAAAGATGCGGAAACAAGAGTGAGGAGGGTGTACTTACTGCCTTGGTTCCGATCTCCTGTGAGGCCCACTACATAAAATATTTTCAGATACTTTCTACTGATTTTCTTTTTTTCTTTATACTCACCCAAGCAAGTTTCTAAGGCTTGCAAACAAGAAATTTGACCATGACGCTGCTACATTTCAACTCATCTCATATCCCAGCATTATTTTTTTTTAAATGTGAGCGTAGCTGCCCCGCGACGTTCCGGTAGTCTCAGGGCACAGCGGTCATCTGACAAATAACCCGATGGCCCGGCAGGCAGCGCGGTGCTCACCGCAGAGGTAGCTACGCTGTCCCTGCACCATGCTATCCCGATACCCTCGACTGGACTTCCTGTGCTTTCATCCCCGTGACCAACATTATCCCTGTGGGGCAGGCTCTCGCCTGGAGTCTGTTATAAGAAATTCCAGATCCCTAGTCCATTTGGAACCCACTACTCAAGACTTGTCTTCCCTCTACCTCTAAACAGATGACCTGGCCTCCTGCTACCCACAGAAAGTAAGCCACAGGAAGGAAACTCCTTCCCTCAGTATCTATGTATTTTCCCTTGTACCTTAGTGCCTGGAAGTTTCTGCTACATTCACGTGGGAATGCTCTGAGGAAACAGTATCAGCCGGTGTGCTCCTGCCACAAGTTTCCCGGTTTTCTTATCTTCTCGAGCTACACCTTACCAATACGTGTGATGGTTTGTGAGGCATGTCTCGTTTGGGACAGAACTTACCACTGTAAAAACATGATCAAAGAGAAAACCAGCCGCGCTGCACACAGCCCCCGAGCTCACTGCCTGCGTTAAACCTACCCAAATACTGAAGGAGGCCGACGCGCACAACTGTCCTCTCTCAGCAATGCTTACAAACTCGGAATTCGGTCGAGTGCGGCTACCCACGGCTGCCGCCTCACGATTTCACTGCACCCGGTGGCCTCGCGCCCCAGAAAAAAGGCAGGTGTCCCTGCTTTTGGAGAGTTTGCGTCAGCCCACTGCACGCGTACAGAAGACCTGTTAGCATGGCTGGAGCTTCTCTCGTAAGAGCGAAAACCCTCTGCAGATGTCCTTCTGTTAGGAAAAGCAGGTAGTCATGTGAGCTGGCGCAGAAATGAAGTGGGGCAGCAGGTGCGTTTGGGAAATGGGTTGGGCTTTGGTGGATGTCCTGTGGGCTCACGCTAGGTTTCACAGGAACGCTCTTCCTTCAGAGAGCGGGTAGGGAGGCCTGTGCTCTGCATAAGAGCAGGGTCGAGTGAACATCAATCTGTGGGGGTCACGCACAAGGCCAGCGGCATGGGGTGCTGAGGACAGGGCTGCACGGGCTGGCGGTCAGCCACACATTCCATTAGGCGGGGCTGGTCACCACGGACACCTTTCCGAATACAGCCCTACAGATTTCTTTAGGCTCCAGCCCATTTTCTGGCGACTTGAACAGTTCTGGCTGGATGAGAGCTACAGTCTCACACCTTCGGAACTGGGGGCTTTATACTTTGTGGTGTTTCTTGATCCATTTTCACCTTCTACAAACTCCACTTCTCAGCTCAGCAGGGGAAGAAAACCAGTAGAAGGCCATTTCGTGATATTACAGCCTTCTATGCTACAAAGCCTCTCATTTATCCACTGGAACAACTGGTGAGGAAACTTTTGTTGTCTCCGTTCTAGACCCAAACTTACCTTCCTCACGCCAGCGGATATGTGGCCATGCTCGGGCCCGAACAAACCCCACAACTCTACACTCTGTGGGGCTAAGTCATAGCGCGCTCAGGGCTGACAACCTACTCTCCATCAGCAGGTAACAGAAATATCACAGCTGCCTCACCTAGCGTCCCTGCAGACCTTCGCTCCCCGACCTCCTCCTCTGGGAACCCTTTTATTCAGACTTGAATGACACTTTAATTTATGATGCTGCCAGGTGCCTTGAGAGGAAGGCACAGGGTGACGTGTCCGGAAGGCACCAGAGAAAGTTCTAGAAAGGGGATGCATCAAGTCATGAATTTTACTGAGGGGTATCAGAAAACAAGTAAGTAAACAAAGATATATCAGTGCCTCCACTTAAATACAAGAACAAAGAAAGGCTGACTGTGCACACGGGAGGTAAGAAGTGAGTTTGCACTGAGTTTGCAGTGAGTTTGCACTCTGGGGGCAGGCTCTCCTGGACACTGCTCTGCTTCCAGCAGTCAGCAAACGTCCTTCCTCCTTTCAACAGACCTCACAGGAGGGGCTCGCGGCACACAACCACAGCGCCCTGAGAACTGCACAAGCTCCGGGCTCACCTGACCTTCAGCTCAGTTCGTGGTCCCAGGGGCCTGGGGTTGAGTCCCACGTCGGGCTCCCTGCAGGGGGCCTGTTTCTCCCTCTCCCTCTGCCGCTCCCCCTGCTTGTGCTCGCTCTCTCTCAAGTAAGTAAATAAAATCTTAAAAGAATACAAGACAAAAGAAAAGCGTCAAATGCGACTCATGCTTTAAGGGTGCTTGGCTTGGGGTAATTACGGTGTTGCTCATACACAGTCCGGGAGATAAAGGGTGAACTGTGCGTCAGGCAGAGATGATGGAATCAGGTTTAGCTGAACTGAGCCAAAAGCCCCAGACTTTTACTCCTAGCCGTATGAGCTGGGAAACTGCCTTGTAATCACCAGTTGCTTTTCTACTAGATTTGGAGGAGAAAGAGGGAGTAGCTGACCTCACTAATGTGTCCAGCACTGAAAATCCTCGTGGTAAACAATCACTTAAGTTGTATCCACACCCAGTGCAGGACTCGAACTCAGGACCCTGAGAGGAAGTGTCTCGGGCATCCCCAGTTATGTGGGACTTATCCTTGCCCTGCTGATTTGGGTTTCCACATCCCCTGCCCCTTGCACTCAGGCGATACAACCGTGCAGGGCAGAGGATCTCCCACGGGACATGGAAACGGAAGGCCAGAGACACAGTCTGCAGCAGGCACAGCGAGTGGAGGGCGAACACAGAAGAGCCCCATCACCGAGGAACGTTCCACGGCACACTGCCGAGGTCGCAAGTGAACTGCTGGTCTGGGGGTGGGCGTGGGGACCACGACTGATGGAGAATGCTCTTTAGGCAGCCCCCACTCCTTATTCTCTACGCACCAACGCTCACCCCTACCTTCCCAAAGTTTTGCTATCTGGTAAGAAAATGAACCGGAAATGAAATGAAATCCATAAATTTCATTCTGCTTGGGATGAAAACTCTCGCTCAGTGCACACGTTTGTCTTCTGAGTCGTCAGTGAGGGTTGGGGCACATCTGCTTGAGAGGGTGAGTCCAGTTTGCATCTGAGCGGACCCAAACCTCGGGAAGACACTGCTTACATGGGCTGTGGGTCCTGTGGCTGCCCTCCTCACTCTGCCGGGCTGGGCTCGGGGTCCCTCCTTGGCACAGCTCCGCACAGGCCTCCATCCTAACCCTGAGCACACTCTGTGTTTGGGGCGATCTATGCCATTACTTGTGGCCCAGTCAAGGACCGGGACCTCTCATTCACTCACAAAACCTGGCCCACAGGAGGCTCTCAAAGTCCCTCACACAGACAGAACTGTAGGGCGCAAGCCAGACATGGAAGACCTGGTCAGCAGTCCCGAGAAACGTACAAACAGGAACTGAAAGACCACAGACTGACCTACGACAACCTCAAGACAGCCGTAGTGGGCTGGGAGCGGGGCCTGAGCAGCGGCGGATCCCAGTTCCTTCCTCACCATCATTGCCCAACCACATTCCAGCTGATGACACCGGACGTCAAGGATTCGCCAGGTGCACGAACACGAGGGAACTAAGACAGCTCCGCCAAGTTTCTAGCCCAGGGCTATCCGATATTCCGTATCTGATGCAGACACTCTGGGGACAGTTGGGAACTAGTACTAAAAACAAGAGTTCACTTAAGACACGGGTTTTATTCTCAAAGCACTGAAACTTTACTAGTCTTTTATTTTTCCTATTTGGCTTCTCAGAAAGGGTGGCATGGTTAAGAATTTTCTTTGATGTGGTTTTATGATGGCAGGCGCTTCTTCTCTATTCTTTTCCATAAGGACAGTCACTTTAATCCGGCTTCTACCGCGTGGCTGGAAAAGGGGATACGCAGTCACACTTTCAAGCTCTTTGATCTCTCTCCTTGCTCTCCCACGCCTCTCTCGTGTCAGCAGCTGGCTCTGGGTTTTCCTCAAGACTCTCTCCTTGCGCCTTTGCTCCGCGAGCTCTCTCCCCCGAAGCATGCGTTGCTGGTGACCTTGGATCTGCATCTGTTCCCTCTCGCTCACCTGCTTTCTTCTCTGTGCGCTCAGGACACCATGCTCTTCTGGCACGATTTTGGGGAACGTTGTCTCACTAGGGGGCCGTGGTAATTGTTTACCTGGTTTGTTCTTAGACTCTCTGACCCGACCCGCTCTCTGAATGTGCCTTTCTATGTGTTTCACCTCTCTCTCCGGAACCAAGTAATACTGCTTTGGTCTCTCTAGCCTGTGGGTCGTCTTCCCCTCCCATCTCTTCTTGACTTCATGGCCTGTCTCTTGCTCCTTCATCATGTCCATTATTCTCTTATTATAATAAGACTCCGCTTTGGCCAGCCAGTGATCAAGAGAAAGAGCTTGCTCCCTGCACAATGTTTCATATTCCTCATGGTATTTCCGAGTTATCAGCTGTCTTGCCGCTGCTGTATGCACGCCACCCAGATTCTGTCAAAGTGAGGCACAGAATTTTATAAGGTGACCGTCTTTTTAAACACATTTAAACAGGAGCTTCATCTCATCAGTGACACTGAGAAGATTTGCAGTCTCTTGTTTACTTTGGTGTTTAACAATTGTGATTTTTATTCCCATCACCCCAGGTGAAACTCTGAGCTCTCAGAGTTGAACTACCCACCACCAACATCAGTAACTACTTTTAAAAAAAGAGAGTATTGGGCATTTTGAACATAATACTCTGTTTTGCAACTATGGATATAGCTAAACACATGTACCAGGGTAGACCCCTCTGTGGAGGGGTCACCTGGGCAGGATTTTAAGCCTAAGGCCCCTTCTCCTAGTAGCTCCAAACTGTACAACGTGAAGATTATTTACCAAGATTTTTTTCTCCAGTGGGGACTGCTGACCTACGGCAATCCTAGGGTCTGTAGAGGTTTTCGCCCAGGCCAGACTGGAAGACAGAGAAAACAGAGGTAGATTAGAGTGTGGGAGGTGTCAGAAACTATCTACTCACATACCGACTGAACCAGGGTAACCAACTGTTTTGGTCAACGCCAAGGGTATGTCCCCTCGGAAAGAGAGATCCTGCTGCGAGGATCTCTTCCTCCAGGGAATTTAACAATAGCATCTAATCCTTTCACAGAAAGTAGGCACGCACATCTCCCGTGGACTCAAGAGGAACCATTCTGAATCTGGAATCTGGGCCTGGGAGAGGGAAGATGCAGGCTCCTGGGTGTGGCGCTGGGCAAGCTCAGCTGGGCTGGACTGCTCTGTCTCCCGGCCTCCTCTGTCTTCCGAGAGACTTCCAAAGTGCAGTGCTCTCGGTCCCTCCTCTCTCTGCAGCTTCTTGACCCGGGCCCTCTCCGCCTCTATCAGCACATACAGCATCTCTGCCTTCCAATGTTTGGTTCTGAAATTGTTACGTGATCACCCGCCCCTCTGCTTTCCTGCCTTATACTGCCACTTATCCTTCATCCTAAATCCATTGTGAAACTGTTCCCTGCTCAGCACCTGAGGGTGGGAATTTGTGGTTATCCTTTTTTTTTTTAAATGGGCCAGGCTGATGGCAACACAAGTGAAGACTGCCAACTTTTTATGTGTCATCCCTGGTCTAATCTGAGTTTACTGTGAGGTCGTGTTAAGCCACTGGGGATGCCTGGCATTTCATCTCTGTGCCTTTTGTACTGTTTATGGCAAAGAGCATGGGCTTTGAAGCCTGACAGGGCTACGTCTGAATCCTAATCGAACGGCCTCTGAGGTGTGTGACTCCGGGCAAGTAACAATCTCAGTCAGCTTCCTCATCTATAAAATGGACACAGAAAACAAACATCTGCTTCCCAGGGTAATAAAGAACAAACGTACATTAGATGAAAGCGCCTGGCACAATGCTTGACATGTGGTAAGTTCTCAGTAAATGGCAGATAATTCCCCCCACAAGTCAAGCTCCTGACTCTCTATCAAGTCTTTCTGAAACAGTATGTGTAACAATGATTTCTGTCTTCTTCTGAACACTTTTAACCATTACCTCTAAAACTCACTGGAAAATAATCAGGGTTTACACTGGTATACCTGTATTCCTCTATCATCTTTAACATTTTCACACTGAAATTTAGACTCTAAAAGGGTATAACTTAAAATTTACATCTACAAATTTATTAGAATGAATCTGATACCAAATATTGGACCTCACAGACTTCTTAGACACATTCTTATTTGTCTATGTAAATCTATTTTGATATTTAAAAAATACAACCATCTTACTTTTCTCAGTATGTAAAACCTAGCACAGTACTGAACATTAGAGTACGTGACCCAAGTTCTCAAAGTTCACGATTTGCTGATTACCCTTATCACAAATCTGAGCATCTCTCTGCTACATTCCCCATAACGCTGTATCCATCTATTTTTTTTTAAAGATTTTATTTATTTATTTATTTGAGAGAGAGACAGTGAGAGAGAGCATGAGCGAGGAGGTCAGAGGGAGAAGCAGACTCCCCGTGGAGCTGGGAGCCTGATGTGAGACTCGATCCCGGGACTCCGGGACCATGACCTGAGCCGAAGGCTGTCGTCCAACCGACTGAGCCACCCAGGCGTCCCTGTATCCATCTTTTTGCTGAAACATTTGCCATTCACTCCCAAGGCACAGGTTTCTTTCCCGGGCCTGTCCTGGGCTCCCACACTTGGTCCGACCGGTGTACTCTCACTGCATTCTTATCGTTTGGTCTCCTTAAGGTCCCCTAACATTTTTCAACTTTGCAGCCCCAGCCTCAGCTTAATAAATACAGCTGGACTGAGTCTGTGCTAAGTGGCCACGCCTTACAGCAGGCGGCACAGGAGGGCCGCAGTCAACCCAGGGTGGACAGTCTCTGGATGCCTGTCCAACTGAAGTTAGAGAGGGGAACAAGCTCATTTCAACTACCATTTTCAAAGGAGACACACAGGATAAAAACCGCCTGCCTCGTGGGCGGAACAGCAGACCTCCCTTTCTCACAGACACAATGACACCCGCGAAGGGAAATCGTGGGACTTCTCAGGAGCTTGCTGGCAGCTCCAACCCCATCACTATGGTCTGTCCATCACTGCAGAAAAGGCAGAGCGGGGCCTACGCCCAGCAGAGGCCACAGCTTGTCTTTGAGGAGGGGCAGGGACGGCTCCAGAACCTTCCCCTGCAGGGAGCGGCTTCGCACAGCTCCCCGGTCGGCCGGCGCTGGCGGGGCCAGCACAGAACTGGGAAACTCGGGGACAAGGGTCTACTCCATCTGTAAGTCACAGACGAACGACAACAGCATGATTTTCTGAAGATACTGGCCCTCGTGTTTTCTAACTCTTGGATTAGGGAAACGTCAAGTCACCACGTGACGCAAGACGACCAGAATTCACTGACCGCTGCGCCAGAGCCGGGGGACGAGGCGGAGGTGGATCCGCGAGCCAAAAGCCGAGCCGGGTCCCGGGGAAATGCACCAGGGCTGCCCGCCGACGGACGCCGGCCTGCCCGCCCTGTCCTCGACCCAGTCCCGAGCCTCCTCCCGGGAGTGGAGCTCCAGGCGCGGCCCGTCCTCCACCTCCGCCCGCCCCGCCTCCTCCCCCGAGGAGGCCCCGATGGGCCCGGCCCCCAGAGCACGCGAGGCCCCGAGAGGAGGCGGAGAGCCCCTGCTCGGCCTCGGAGGCCCCGGGGCGCCGCCCCCGACAGAACCCCGCTCCGGGACTCGGGAAGGGCCGCAGGATTTATAGGGTCAACGCCCCCGCGGCTGAGGGAACATTAACGCTCCAGGAGGGAGCTCCTCCCGGAGGGGCAGCACCCGAGGCCACGCGCCCATTACCGTCCTCCCCGGCCGGCCTCCGCCGCCACCACAGGCAGCGCTCTCCCACCCACGAGGCTCCGCGGCGCGCGGCGCGCGGCGACGGACTATGACGTCACGGCCAATGGCGAGCCGGCGCGGCGGACGCTCTGGCTCGCCCCGCGCGGAGCCGGCGCGCTCGTCTGCTCTGGAGGACCGCACGCGGCCTGCGGGTCTGGACACCGAGCACCGCGCGTGCAGGGAGGGGGGCTCGCGCTGCGGCCGCTCCCTCGGTCCCGCGGAGGGGCCGCTCTCCGTCCCTCCGCACCCGGTACGGCATGGACGGCGCGCGCTCCGGCTCCAGGTTCCAGTCGGACCTGGACTTCTGTCCGGATTGTGGCTCCGTCCTGCCGCTGCCCGGGGCGCAGGACACGGTCACCTGTGTTCGCTGCGGCTTCCGCGTCCCGGTGCGAGGTGAGCGGCCCCGGGGGGTGGCGGGGGCGGCGGGGGACCTGACGCCGGGGGCCCCGGGTGGGAGCCTGCGGGGAGGACTGCGCGGGTGCCCACAGCCGTGCTTCCCGCCCGCGCAGACTTCGAGGGGAAGGTCGTGAACACCTGCGTCGTGTTCAACAAGCCGGGGACGGCCGCGCCTGTGCCGGCGGAGGAAGGGCCCGAGTTCCAGGGACCCGTGGTGAGCTAATGACCCCATTGGGAGGGCGGCGAGGACGTGCAGGGGTGATTGCCGAGGTCTGGCGGGAAGCAGCCGGGTGGAGTGTGACGTGTGATTCCCGCAGGCAGCCCGGGGTAGGGATGGGACGGGGCCTCCCTGACACGGCCTCCCCGCGCCTGTTCCTGGCCAGGTTGACAGGCGCTGCTCTCGATGTGGCCACGAAGGAATGGCCTACCACACCCGACAGATGCGCTCGGCCGACGAGGGGCAGACGGTCTTCTACACCTGTACCCACTGCAGGTGCACACCCTTCCCCGTGTCCCCGCCCTTTGTGAGCTGCTGGTTCACTGAGCGTCTCCACTGATTTCCTCCGCGTACCGAAGAAACGGGTATTTCCTTTGGCCCCATCCCTCTCCACAGTTCAGCGAACAGGGAGGTTTGGGGCCTGTAAAATGAACAGTTTTCTTAATCTGTTTATAGCCAGTGAACTAAGCCTTTTAAAGTGTTTGAAAGGAAATGAAAACATACAGAAGGCAAGTACTGCTCAGTGGTCAGCCTGTCATGGTAGGAATCTCTCACTGGTTCAAGGTAGTCTTTCTTTCCTGAGAATTAATCACATGTCACTTCAAGAACCGGGCAGCTCCAAATGGGTTTAAGAACGCTTTGTCTTGGGGCACCTGGGGGGCTCAGTCGGTTAAGCCTCTGCCTTCAGCTCAGGTCCTGATGGGGGTTCCTGGGACCCAGACCCTCCTCAGGCTTCCTGATCAGCGGGAAGCCTTCTTCCTTTTTCTCTATCCCTCTCCCCACTCGTTCTCTCTCAAATAGATAAAATCTTAAAAGTAAATAAATAAATTCGTCCTTTTATTTTTTTTTTAAAGTAGGCTCCACATGGCGCCTACTCAGAACCCTGAGATCAAGACCTGAGCTGAGGTCAAGAGTCAGATGCTTAACCTACCGAGCCGCCCAGGCACCCTCTTCCTTTTATTCTTAAAATATGTATTACATTTAAGTATATTAAATAAGAGTATTTATATTCTATGTCTGATAATTCTGATACCCATAGTTGTGGGTCTGATGCCGCTATTTGTTGTTCCTGGTAACTGACTCATGGTGCTTTTTTTCTTTTTACTTATTTACTTCTTTAGTCATTATTTGTTGAGTTACGTATGTCTGTATGTAATCTCTACACTGAATAGTTCTGTTTGTTTTTTTTTTTTTTTTTTAAAAAAAAAAATTTTATTTGAGAGAGTGGGGGTGGGCAGGGTACAGACAGGAGAGAGAGATCTCTCCCTGCTGAGCATGGAGCTTGATTATCTCACGACCCCGAGAACATGACCTGAGCTGAAATCAAGATTAGGCAGCTTAACCCGCTGGGCTACCCAGGTGTCCCAACTTTTTTTTTTTTTTTAATGAACAGAAGTTTTTAATTTTTATGAGGTCCAGTTTATCCCTTTTCTTTTTTCATTCTTTGTCTAATGGCACGTGGCTCTTTGTGTCCTAAGATATCATTTGCATATACTTTATATTTCATTAGATATATTTTGGAATGCTTATATATATTTTTACTTTTTATTTAAATTCAGTTAATGAACGTATAGTGTATTTTTAGTTTCACAGGTAGAGCTCAGTGATTCATTAGTCATTGACCAGTCCTGATTACCTCACATGCCCTCCTTAATGTCCATCACCCAGTTCCCCTATCCCCCCCACCCCCCTCCCCTCCAGCAGCCCTCAGTTTGTTTCCTGTAGTTAAGAGTCTCTTATGGTTTGTGTACCTCTCTGTTTTCATCTCATTTTGTTTTTCCTTCCCTTCCCATATGTTCATGTCTTGTTTCTTATATTTCACATATGAGTGAAATTGTATGGTATTTGTGTTTCTCTGCTTGACTTATTTCACTCAGCATAATCCCCTCCAGTTCCATCTGTGTCGATGCAAATGGTGGGTATTCATCCTTTCTGATGGCTGAGTAGTAGTTCTATGTATATATGAACTACATCTTCTTTATCCATTCATCTGTTGAAGGACATCTCAGCCAGCATCTGTCGTTTCCTGACTTGTTAATTCTAGCCATTCTGACTGGTATAAGGTGGTATTTCATTATGGTTCATTAGATATATTTTTAATACAGCATTTTTAGTTGTCTTGAATATGAAGGATTGTTTAGGGGAGCTAGTCTTCCACAATGTCATAAATAAAACTCCCTCCTTGATTCTTCAAATGAATGTCTTGTCTTACACGGCTAGAACCTCTATGCTTATTTAAATATAATGAGTCCTTTCTTTCTCTGTAGGTTCCAGGAGAAGGAAGACTCTTGATTTTTTTTCCAGGCAACGCAACAATTCTCCCTCGGATGGTGAGGGATATTGGGTTCTTAAGATCCTTTGTCCATCCTAGTTGCAATGTTTTGCTCCCATAGAAGGAAGTTATCATGTGGGGATTACCATTGTCCCTAGACTACACCTACTCTAGTTGAGTTTCTTATCAAAGTTCTATTTTTCTATATATGCCAGACATATGTATATTATTTATAATCTGTCTTGTTCCAAAAGGAATTTAAATGAATTTACAGAGATATATTTGTTCTTTCAATAAGTATATCAGCTACAAAAAATATATATAAATTAGTATATGAGAAGGAAAAAGAAAAAGAAGTATAAAAAATGGAGGCAGGAATGAGACTAATAGAAAAAGTAATTTTAAGTATTCCACCACTAAATCTATTTGGTTCCTGAGTTTAGAGAAACAAAATGTAGGAATCTGGATAGTGGGAGATTGAACAAATAATTTAACCAGATCTCTTTGATGTGAGCTTAGACAACAAAAAATCTGATACTAAGGGATACCAGTATGTGCTTACTACAGTTGGACATTTTGGGAAAAAAAATTTTTATTGCTGTTGAGATAAATGTAATATATATTCATTGTAATAGATTCATATGTAAAAAGATGGGGGGGAAAAAGAGTAAAAAATACAAGGAATCCCACTTCAGAGAGATACTTGTTTTTTTTTTAATGGCTTTTACTATACATGCTGAGGTGTATCTTGCTTTTTATCAGTTTGCCCAAAAACTTGAAAGGGAAACACTTTGTAGTCCGGGCACAATAAACATACTCAGATGTACTCTGGGAGTTTGTGTTTTTGCATTCCTTGCTTCATTGTGATGCCCTTGACATGTTCAGAGCTCTCAGACTCACCGTGTGGGCTTTGGCCCCCGGCCACGGGGACGGGTGGGCAGGCGGGACTCTGCCGCCGCTGGATTTGGGGTCCGAAATCCGGAACAAAGCTGCGCGTGTGTCCAGCGCACTTCCAGCCTTCCCCGGCCCCTAGCGCCGCCTGCGTGCGGTCCGGGGCTCCCCGCCCAGCCGCCTCGGCAGCCAGTGGCTCTGCCGGCCCCCAGCACCCACCCCCACCTTGCTTCTGGGACACTGGCAGGTGCTCCTGTGAGAGCACAGTGCCCTGTGGTCACGGACCCATGTCCCATCGCCACCCGACGAAGTGGACAATACAGTGTCCTGTCCGCCAAGCCCCGGCAGACCGGGTGGCGGCTCCTAAGCGAGGTCTGGGGACAGCCCGAGCAGAAGGCTTAAAAAGCACCCGCCCCGGCGCCGCAGACCCGCGCGGGACCAGAGCCCTCCCCGGATCAGGTGCGTGCACCTGCTGCTGGGGTCGGAACCCCATTCCCACGAGAAGCCGGGAAACCAAAGCAGGAGCTGCGTATGTCTCACAGCAGCCGCGGGGCGCGGTGCGTGGAACACGCGCCCAGCCCAAGCCCTGCAGCCCCGCCCACGTGCCGCGCCCCGCCTGCAGCCCCTCCGGACCGCCCCCTCCCGCAGCGCCTCCGCTGCGCGTGCGCGTGCGCGTGCGCCTGTTGCCGACGCTCCACAGCCGCAGTGCCGCCGCTTCCGCCAAGTCTGGGGCTGCCTCTTGCGGCGCCTGCGCACTGTCACGTGACGGCGGAACTACTCTGACGACGCGTGCGCTTAGACGCTTTTAGTACCCGGGAAGGGAAAAGGGGACCTACAGAGTGCGTCACACCCGGAAGCAGAGAGCCGGAAGTGGGGTTGGACAGGTTATTCCCTGGGGTGGGGAAGCGAAGGCCCAGGAGGAGGGGGTAAAAAGAAGGTGGAGGATCCTGGCTGCTACTCTGAACCCGATCCCGATTGTCTTAGACCCCAGAGACCCAGAGAAAGGGAAGGGCGTCTCCTCCCCCTTCCTCCCCTCCTCCCTCTCCTCAGCCTTAGCCATGGCCGAGGCAGGGGCCGGGCTGAGTGAGACCGTCACTGAGACAACGGTTACCGTGACAACCGAGCCCGTGAGAAAGGCGGGGGGGCGGTGCTCCTCGGGGTCTTCGGGAGAGGCCGGGAGGGAGCGGCTGGGGCTCTGGGAGGAGCGGGCTGACCCCTGGGGTCGGGAGACGTGCACGGTGTGCGGGACTTGCGCAGTGGCCGGGATGGTGCAGGAGACCAGCCAGGCGGCGTGGAATAGGGTCGGAGTGGGGATGCGGGGGATGCTGCCCGGGGTGGGGACACGGAGCAGGATCAGACTGGGGGTGCGGGGGATGCTGCCCAGTGTGGGGACAGGGAATAGGGAGTCAGAGAGGGGACGTGGAGCAGGGTCAGAGTGGGGATGCGGGGGATGCTGTCCGGGCAGACGACATAGAGTAGGGTCCGAGTGGGATGTGAGTGATGCTGCCCAGGGTGGGGACATGGAGCAGGGTCCGAGTGGGGATGCGGGGGATGCTGCCCAGGGTGGTGGTGAGACCCAAGCATGGGACGTGGGGGACTGAGGAGCAAGGGAGGTGCTGGGGGACGATGAAGGGTTCTGTGAGAAAGCATGGCTGGAGGCCCGCTGGAGGGCAGTTTGCCCAGAAGCACACTTGTCAATAAGTATTTGTTGAATGGTGACTCTAAAAGGAAATAGAAGAAAGGAGCGAACAAGACGGAGGAGGTGGAGATAGTATTTTGAGAAATCAGAAGAGATGAAAATAGAGAAAGGAGTAGCATTTTTGCAAAAAACAGGTTAAGTTGCTTTCAAAGGGCGGAGGTGTCTTGGGCTTCAGAGCCCCTGGGTTAAGGGTGTTTCGAATGATAGAGATGCCAGGGTGCTAGGGAGTAGGTGGGCAGGAAGGGGGGGGGCGCAGGCTTGAGAGAGGTCTGGAAAAAGGGAGATCAAGAGTGGGTATGGGGGACTGAGTGAATAATGTTCAAGTATTAAGACCACCAAGGATGATTTGGGGAGGAAGAGAAACAGGGAGGATTATGTTTTCGTTTGAAGAGTTGCTGGGACCTTCCTTAGGTTAGGAATTGTGTCTTCTCTGTGTCTGAGCAGTCATGGAGAACACTCGATTCCCCAGGGATTCCTGGAGGGCAAAGACCTGTCGTGTTCTGTCCCCTCCCAGCATGCAGCTCCTCTGCTGCCATGTCTGTGCCTCTGCTTGAACTGAGGCCTGGAAGAGAGGAGGCCCCTGGGAGGGAGTGGGAAAGATCAGCCCCCGGGAACTAGATAGGTATGCCCATCCTTCTTCACCTTCCAGGAGAACCGGAGCCTGACCATCAAGCTTCGGAAACGGAAGCCAGAGAAAAAGGTAGAATGGACAAGTGACACTGTGGACAACGAACACATGGGCCGCCGCTCATCAAAATGTGAGTGATCGTTGGCCACCAGCAGCCACAATGCTCTGGCGCGGCCTGCGGTCCTGTCCCTGGCTTCAGGGAGACGTTCAAGTAGAGGGAGTGAGGTGGGAATATGCCGAGGCCTGAAGGCAAGAGGTATCAGAGCCAGGGAGAAGTGGAGCGTTGGGTTCCTGGCAGAAAGGACAGGGGTTTGGGTGCCTCAGCCCCAGGGGGTGGGCCTGGGGAAGCTGGATCCTGGAAGGGAGAAGGAGCCAATGGTGGAAGTAGGAGTTTTTACTGAGATCCATGGGAGTGGAAGCAACTGTACATCCATCCTAACTTTTGCTCCTTTTTTACCGGGCTCCTCCTTCCAAATCCAGGCTGCTGTATTTACGAGAAACCTCGGGCCTTTGGCGAGAGCTCCACGGAGAGTGATGAGGAGGAAGAGGAGGGCTGTGGTCATACACACTGTGTACGGGGCCACCGCAAAGGACGGCGTCGTGCAACCCCAGGACCGAGCCCCAGCACCCCTCCCCAGCCTCCTGACCCCTCCCAGCCCCCTCCAGGGCCAATGCAGCACTAAATTCCTCTGTCCCCCACCATTCCTGTGTCTGTCTGGCCCTGAATGTATTCATGTGGCTACCTGGGGATTAAACCCATGGTTTGATCCCTCCTCCAGCCCCCTCCTCCCCTCTTCTCTGCCTGGTGGAGGGAAGGGGGAGAGGAGGGTAGACAGAGATCCTGGAATTCTGACTTGCTGCTACTCCAGAACCCAGACTTCTGGGTTCCCCCAGCACTCATTTCTCCTTCCAGTACTCATCCTCTGTTCTCCAGGGATCCAGGCACCTTGGTCCCAGTCTGTCCCCGTTGTTCTCACTGCCAAACTGTCTGTCCTGGGATGCAGTTATCTTGGCCCCTTGCATTCTCCCCTTGAGTCCCAAACACTTAACTTGGGTTTTCAGCAGCCCTAGCCTTCACTGCCAGGGGTCCCAGTCAGATTGGGGGCAGTCTTGTCCCAGCTATGCTTGTTAATCCTGGCTCTGAGCTCTTCCAGGAATGGACTTGTATAATCGGAACTTCTAGTCCTTGCTTGTGGGATGGGAGGCCTCATGGGAGACCTCAGCGCTCTCAGGGAGCTCCCAGCCCTTCCCTTCTCCTGCCCTCCGGAGGAGTTGGGAAAGGGGTCTTTGCTTTCTCCCTGTTAATGGGACATGGAAAAGGAAACAGTCATGGCCTCTTCTCATCCTTCTCATAGGATACAGGATTTCCGACAAAGCCATCTTGAAGACTGGTCACTTAGAGCCCACTGTCTCCTCCGTCTTCTGGCTTCAGAGACCGATCCAGCAGTGTCAGGGCCCTGGGTCCCTAGGAGAGGAAGGAAAAGAGAGGGAGCAAAGAGATGGGGATATGTCCCCTATACTACACTCTTACCCTTCCTTCCTAGGCTTTGATGTTTCTGCCAGCCCAGATGTCCAGCTCTCAGCCCTCCCCACTCCTTACTGGGATCTTGCCATCATTTTCTCGGCTTCTTGCCATGCACAGTTGCAAAGATGAGTCAAAAACGTACCACCACTGAGATCTCATTTATTGCCACAGATGCACAAAATAAATAACCCAGCATCACAAAACGTGTTAAATATGGGCCCATTTATACATATGGATAAAGATATGAAGCCGTAGATGAGGAGCAGCTTGGGTGTCTGGGCCATTCCCAGGTAGAGGAGAGAGCGATAGCACCACTGGTTCCTTGGGGTGGGGGGGAGTCTTGAGAAGGTTCCAAAGGGGGAAAGGCTATGAGCGTGGAAAGCAGGCCTCTTGGAGTAGAGCTGCCTGCCCCCTGCTCAGAAAGCTTAGTAAGCCTCCTAGGAGACCCAGGCCAGAGTCTTGAAGAGGGAGCTCAGATTGGACAGGACAGGGAAGCCTGAGGCTTCGAGCTGTGGAGAAGGACTGTGCGTTTCCTCCAGACGGGGAGAGGCCTGAGCAGGCAGTAAGGCCCTTTGTATCCATCTTGCCAGAGGGTCCCGGTGTGGACGAACATAAGGCGGGAGGGGAGAGGTGAGGCAGGAAGTAGCCCGAGGTGGCGTGGCACTGCGTCTGAACTCGGCTTTGGGTGTAGATGTGGACACACAGGCCATGTGGATGAGCGCGGATGGCCTGGCGCCTAGGAGGCCGCTGGCGGCGGGTGTGGGTGGGACTCAGCCTTCGGCCGGCACAATGCGGAGCGGGGCGCGGGCGTCGCGAGTGCAGAGCAGCGGAAAGACACGCTCCCCCAGGGGCCCGGGCTCCTGGAAGGCGAAGAGCAGGTCCAGCGAGCGGCCGTCGTAGAAGGCCACGCGGCCGCGTTCCCAGTCCAAGTCCACGCGGATGCGGCGCGGCAGGGGCCCGGTGCCGCCCAGTGGAGTGGGCTCGGGAGCCGTGAGGGCCCACAGGCGGCCGCCGCGGCCCTCCACGGCCCACACGGCCCCCGCGGGGCACAGCCCCACGCGGCCCTTGCGACACACCGACTCT